AGCGAGAGAGTCTTCAATAGCAACTGTAAGAGCGTGGCCTATATGTAAAGAACCAGTAACGTTGGGGGGCGGAATAACCATAATAAATTTTTGTGAATCTGTTGCAGTCGAAGCAAATGCTGCTGCAGCTTTCCTTCTTTCTTCGGGTGTCTGTACACCTCGAGATTCAGATTCTTTTGCTGCTGCTGCTGCTGCTGCTGCTTCTTCTGCTGTTCCTGCTGCTGCTGCTGCTGCTGCTGCTGCTGCTGTTACATATGAAGGGCTAAAATATCCTTGAGAAAGCCACCAATCCATCCATCCCTGTTCAACATATTTCGGGTCGTAAGAAGAAGGAACTGGCATCGCTAGCTCTGTCGCAACAGAAAAAAAAACAAAAAAAAACAAAAAAACTCACCTGTACATACACCTGAAATGTCTACAAGTGAAAAACATGAAATTTCAAAACTTGAATTTCTGCATATAGCGCTGAAACCACCGCCAAAGCTCGACGCTTACTCACCCTTCTTAGGAGCAGAAGAAGTTGTAAATTGCGTCATTTTTCGGGTTTTATTCATAAAAATAAAAGAAGTATTAATATTATCCAAAGAAAATACAGAAAAAGATGAATTCACAGCGCCAGTTAGCCCCGTTGGCGGTGCAGCGCCGACGAAGTTTCGTAGGTTTCTGCTGAGGCTTGTGGAAAGTGTTTGTGTATAAAGTGAAATATATTTGTTTTTATTGAATTTCTGAGGTTTTTTATTCAAAAAAGGATCAAAAAAAACATGAAAATATACACCCCTAGACGGCAGAAACCTGCAACATGAAACAGAGGTTTCTCCCCCCACGGAAGCGCTTCGCATGCCACGCGCTTGGCTCTGTTGTTTTTTTGATTTTTTTTCTCGCTGTAGCTATTTAAAAATAATAAAAATAAAAAGAATTAATAAAAATTAAAAGGAAAAGAAACTAACAGAACAACCACACCGAGACTCAGTAAGAATCCATGCAGAAAGCAGAAGAAGAGCCTTGGGCGGCGACAGCGGCTCCTGAGGTGTACATACACCTCAGCTGCGATGAGGAAAGCGGAATGTTTAAGAAAAGTAAATTCTCACTTCTATGGATTTGATCGACGACAGCCACCTCAGAAGAGCTGTTACAGACAGAACCGATGCAGCAGCAGCTGCAGCAGCAGCAGCAGCAGCAGCAGCAGCAGCAGCAGCAGCTGTTGGGGGCCCCCTCTCTCGCTCTCTCCTGGTGTTGTTTCTGGCTGCGGCTGATGCACAGTTGAGTTTATGTTATTTATTATGATTTAAATAATATAATTTGAATAAATTTCCGCATGAATTGTCTTAGACAAACGAAGCTGCACGTACACTGCTTCCCTCTCTCTAGCTATATATACATGTATGTATGCTGGCGCCTAGGGGATGGTAGGTAGCCTATGGTATTGTATTATTTTAGGCGTATGCATGCGTAGTTTTTGTTCTTTTTCGCTTAATATTTATTAAAACAATTATATTTTCTTATATTTATATTTTAATACATTTATTTATTTTCCTTGTTTCATAGAACGGCTCAGCTTGCCGCAGCCTTGTGTGTGCTCGATCTGCACTTTCAGTTTCGTTTTTTGTTTTTTTGTTTATTTATTTTCTTCTTTATTTGAAATTATTCACTGCATATACACCTCAAACACACCTCTCTTTTCTGCTGCTGCATCACCAGCAGCAGCAGCAGCAGCAGCAGCAACAGCAGCAGCAGCAGCAGCAGCAGCAGCTACATATATTCGTCTTTACACCCAATATCTATCATCTATTGCCGTACAATATATTTTATAAGTATTATTATTTTGTGTTACTGCAGCATTTCTTCATTCAAATATTATATAAACAATTTGTTTCATGAATTCTTATATTTAATAATATTTACTCTTTTTTTTTTTTTTTTTTTTTTTTTTTTTTTTTTTTT